TCCCTCGTCTTTAGAAGTTTTTAAGTCTGTAAAACAGAAGTTTTTGAGGAAGAAGAAGAAGAAGTAGTATTTTATTTTATTTTTTAGACTTTAGAAACTCAGAAGCTGATCAAATATCGGGTTAAATATCGGTGGGGTGGCCGATGTCCGATATTCAGTTTTAAGGCCGATACAGGCCGATACCGATAGGGGGCCGATTATATCGTGCATCCCTAGTTTAAAGGTAACACAGCATCTGATATATTAGCTTAAAAGTCCTTATAAGCATTTCTATGACCTTAACCTTAGCAGCAGTTTATCAATGGAGAATCTGTCTTTCTAAAGTTTAATAACGACTACATAACATGACTACATCAAAGTAACTGAGTGCATATTTATATGAATTATGATGTCCAGGTCAGCTGCGAGCTCCCGTAGGGAGAGAGCTGGTCCTCGATTATATCATTGAGAGGAAGAGGATGGACGACCTGTGTGGGAGCATCATCGACGGACGCTTTAGGGAACAAAAGGTGAGGTTAAATAAGTCTATATTTAATGATCTTACTAATGTAGATATGAATCTGAACTAAGTAGAAATGGAAAAAGAATATTTCAATTCACGCATTACCTTCATGTTTTTCTCACTTTTCAAAGTTGAGTGCTTTTATTTGTCAGTCACTTTCTAATTGTTGAAAAACTCACACTGCACCCTTTTGCCTTAAAGATTGACATTCTTTTTTTTCAAGCTGGTGTCAAGTGAAAAGAATCCTACAGTAAAAAAGCAGGTAAAAAAAGATGTCCTAAAATGGTTATTTTTTCTGTTTTTCTATCAGTTTCGACTGAAGCGATGCGGTCTCCGTAAGCCCATCTACTTGGTAGAGGGCAGCAGCTCATCCGCTGCTCACCTGAGTTTACCTGAAAGCACCTTGCAGCAAGCCATCGTCAACACACAGGTGAGAGTATGAATGCTCTGAACACCAAAGCAACAGCAGCAGGTACTTCTAACAGAAACAACCTTTTGTAAATTTGTATGATTAAAAAAAGTATTTTTTTTTGTATGCAATTAAAGTTATTTAGCAACAGAAATCCTCATTACACACATATTAATTATTGTCCCTGTTATTTGCATCATTAACCCCTTAAAATAGCCTATAGTTAAAAGCTATAATCACTTTTCTTGAAGAGGCCTCCTGGTTTAATATAAGATTTATGATTTATGTTTATTTCAAAGTCTCAAACTTGATGATGCTGTGTGTTTTCAGCTCTTTCTCATGGCCTTTAGAAGAGAAACAGGCCCGCAGACTGCTTTTCCCTACTATCTCAAACCAACAAAAATCAACAGCAAACCTCAAAAGGACACAATTCGAGAAGAAACCAGTTATTACTGTTTTTAAAATTGAAACTTTGAGGTGCTTCGGTGGCGCAGTGGTTAGCGTGCACGGCCCATATACGGTCCATATCCTCGATGTGGGCCGGTGGTCCTTTGCCACATGTCTCTCACCGTCTCTCATAACCCTTTTCCTGTGAGCCTACTGTATAATAAATGAGCCACTAGTGCTGCAAAAACCCATTAAAAAAGTAATAACGGATAAATAAAAATAAAATTGAAACTTAAAAGCATCCACTCTAGAGGCTCTAGAGGGCGCCAAACTCTGCAGGAGGTCCAACAGCAGCTGCCTTTTAAACCAACTATAACATTTAAATGAACAGGTTCCCCTTGCAATGTTGTCTTTCACTGAACACCTGGAAAGAAACGTTCAGGCACCTTAAACCTGCCTTGAAGTATTTTCTATGACTGTGCATTTATGCTGCATTTAACATGGTTAAACCAGTTGAAAAGAAACAAAAAAAAATATCCAAAGAGTTTTCAGCTGACATATCAAACTGCACCAACCTAGAACTATGGCAGACATGTTTCTTAAATAGAGTTGGAACTAAATTGGAAGAAACCATTATAAAAGCTATAAACCTGTTATATACAGCTGCAAAATCACAAGAAATGAGAAGATCAGCTAATAAAGAAATAGATTTACCAATCACTACAAACCAGAAATATTTTAATTCATTCCAAACAAATACTCAAAACCACATAGAAAACACCATACATGAGACCAAACGCCCCCTAATTCTCCAATGGTGCAGTCCTGTGCACACCTGCTTGGAGAGGGAAATGGCAGTGGTGAGTATTTAAAAAATAACTTTCACATTTTACCTCTCCAATACACGTGTTTCAGTTTTAAGAAGAGTTGAGAAATTAATAAAAATATTGTAAAGTGAAATAAAGTTACCTTTTTACAAAAAGAAAAACAAGATGTGGCCTGCTAAAGGAGCCACACCCCAAACAAATCTACTAAATTCAGAACAACCAAAATAAACCAAACTACAAAACCAGATGCTGTGATTAACTGTTATCTGAATCAAATGGAAAGGTAACAGCGGCTCATTGTTACCCTCAGTGTTGTGGTCAAGACCACCTAACCCAAGACCAAGACAAGACCAAGACCAAGACTTTTAGGGTCCAAGACCAAGTCAAGACCAAGACAGAGGGAAGTCGAGACCGAGTCAAGACCAAGACCAGCGCCAGTATGTGACAATAAAATGTGAAACATGATCAAAATCACAAAAATTTATCTAAAAGACTCACATTCACATAAAAACACCTAGATATTTAACACACAGAACTGGACTAAACATTAACATCATTATTTAGTACTTCTGTGTAGTAATCACAGAATTTCAAACAATTAATCAAAGTCGATCAAAATTGTTTTTTCTCTACCTTTCATGAACAGTACATACATTTATGTTGTTTTTAAATGTGCTATTTCAAAACAATGTGCAAAATTCTGTAAAATGTGTAAAACTGAAAAAAAAAAAAGCCAATCGTTTCTCTTGTTGCTCTCTCATATACAGATTAAAGCTATATTATGTAACTTTTCTTAAATAAATATATCTGTCACCAAGTTGTGAAATATGTTATGAGACAGATAATTTGTTGAAAAAATAGATTGATCTCCTTCACTGCATTTACCAATGAGACAGGTTATTGAAGGATCTTAAAGAAACTGATAATATTCCGATGATTAGTGTTATTTCCACAGTTGTGGTCTTGACTGGTCTTGAAATAAAATGCCGAGTCCTCAGCCCCCGAGACGAGACCGAGACCAAATGCGGTCAAGTCCGAGACAAGACCATCAAAAAATGGTCTCGAGACCAAGACCGATCTCGAGTACTACAACACTGGTTACCCTGTTGTTGCTCTGTTCTTGGTAGAACCTGTTGAAACTGGTTACAAATGAAAATTTTATTGTTTTCTGTTATGTTTGTTTTAGGTTGTTGACGGCTTCTTCGTTAAAAGAGTCCAAGATGTCCGCGAGTCGGCCGCCTACCTCACAGTCATGACCCGATACCTGACCAAACTCTACCAGGTGGGAAACAAAGAAACCAAAACCGGATTTCGTGTTTCAACTTTAATAAAAATTAGGCGTCTATTTTTGTGTTAATTTTCCCTGAAGGATCGGTGTGAAGCAATGACCTATTTAGCAACATATCTGTGTGAATCTCAACACCTCACTGAAGGTTTTGTTAACTGTGAGAGAAAACAAAGAGATGCTTCACTGTGACCTTCCTTCTAACTTTGCCGTCTTCCTCGTGTCTCAGAACCGAACCCTGTTCTGTCGCTCCAGAGAGCTGGAGGGGGACATATCCAGCAATGAAGAGGAGGGAGGGATCCCCTTCTGCTCTCTCATTTCTTTTGCAGAGTTTAACCACGGGGCTGTGAAAAACAAGGTGAACACCTCCCCTTTAGGTGGTTTTAGAATGACCGACAGAAATAAACGCATCTTGTTTTTTGTGATTCTGTTTGTTTTATCTTCCACCACAGTGTCAGACGGTGAGAGAAGTGTTTGCTAGACAGCTGATGCAGATCAGTGGGTTGTCTGGTGATAAAGCAGCAGCCATACTGGGGCAGTACAGCAGTCCACATAGGTAAATCCTCTGGGCCTTATAAAAGCATCTCACTTTTCTATAAAATACTACCTGTAGGGTAAGTGTGAGGATATTCAGGTTCAAATATTAGAAGTTTGTGTTCTAATCTGTGTTCAGTTGAGAATAAACAGAAATGTTAAAAAAGAACAAAAAGCATCCAAAAAAAACATCCAAAGTTATTTTCAAAATTAACCAATTTATTAAATTAAATCTGCTTCTGTGGAAGAAAAGATCAGAACACGACCAAAATATGTAAGTGATTGACAGTTCCTGTTAAATAATTAAGAGACAACATTGTCAAGATAAGAGATTTTTTATTCTAATCCTATTTGCTCAGTTACTCGTATAGTTAATGCTCTGCTATAGCAAAATTATTGTTTCATCTGTTTATGATGTTTATTTTTTCTCCTCTTAGTCTCCTAGCCGCTTATGAAAAGTGTGGGAGTGAGGCAGAGAAAGAGAAACTCCTCTCCTGCATCCGATACGGGAAGTTGAAAAGGTTAGCAGCATATTTCATCATTACAGATTAAAGCAATCATTGATTTTACTGAAACCTTCTTTAAGGACTGAAGGGCAATGATAATTTCACATGCTAATTAGAAACTCGTTTCTCATGGTAAATATAGTTGTCTGTCTTCTATTTCCAGGGTTTTGCATATTTGGGCATAATGAAAATGATTTAATCTTTACTAAGCTACAAAATTACTTAAATCTGACCTGAATCTGTGTAGAGATCTCAACACATCTTTGAATCAGTACCTAGCAGGTGGTTCTCAAGCATTTCGAGTCTGGGTC